CAAAGATGGCAGGCTGCCCTTTGCAAAAATGACAGTTGCAGTTTCCCTACCCTAAATGAAGCCACAGCCATCATCTTTGCAAAGGGCAGTCAGTCTCCATTTTTACACCTGTGACTCCAAGGCCGGAAGACCTCGGCAGCAGTGATTAAGGTAAGAGGGTGTTGGTGGGCATGGTGTGGGGTGACGTGGGGCCTAAGGTAGGGAAAGGAAGGGGTGGGGGCAGGCTGTTGTGGTGGCTGGCTGTGTGTGTGTGTGTGGCTGCCTATTGGCTTCTGATGAGTTGATCAGCGGCTGGTAGGCAGAATGGGCTTCTGTGCTGTGTGGTAGACTCTCCTAGGGGGACCCAATTTGTGAGTGAATAACTCAGATGTCCAATATCTAATCTTCACCAAAGTTGGCAGGTGTGTTGGGGAAATACATAGGAAGGTCTGTTGTGATTCTGGAGTCTCTGAGTAGCTGGGAAGAGCTTTCCTGGGGGTCTTCTTAGTGACTATATAATTTGAGGGTCCATGATCCAATGTTCACCAAACTTTCAGGAGTTTTAGAACGGCATCTGAGGAAATTTCCCTACAACTTTGGTGTCTCTAGATCATTGGGGACAGTGTTATAGCCATTTAAAGTGCAGACAAATTGACAGATTGATTTGTTGATGAATATTTGTATATTCGTATTCGTTGATACGTTAACCTTGACGAATAATGGATCAAAATGAATTGCCATTTTTTTATTTGTCCCCATTTCTAGTCACCACAGGTTAGAAATGATGGAACAACAACAATAAACAACAGCTCTGGCAGAATAAGCTGAAGATACATTTAAGTTTAAATATGATAAATCTTTATGGAAGTGTGCATGCAGAAAGACAGCAACAGCTGCTCAGAGTAGATCCTTGGTCTAGATGGGCAGGATAAAAATCTAATAAATAAATAAATAAATATTAAATAAATAATTATGCTTCTCTTCTACATACTCTTAGTTGGGAGTGACAGCCAGTGTGATACATAAAATAGTGTTGTGAATCAGGAGACCTAGGTTCAGTTCCTCACTCAGCATGGAAACTCGGGGGGTGGGGGGACTCAATGGAAAATGACTCCTTGAACATCTAACATAGATTAAAACCCCATTAGTGTAGCCACAACCTATAAGGGCTTCGATGGCAATTAACAACCATAATTAGTTGGAAATGTGCTCCTGAACTGAAATGACTTGTTTATGTTTAGGTTTTGGTATGTGTAGAAGTGCAGTGGTATCCTCTGGAGGGAATACAGATTGGAGCCAACCCTCTAGGAAACAATCTAGGCATAACCTGGAAAAGTAGGGTGCATGTCAACCATGTCTTTATCTGTACTGCATGTTAATGTTCAACATTGTGAGTTTGCACTTGCAGGCCCCAATTTTTTTTTCCTAATCACAGGCGATTTGGGGTATATTTGCTGATGTGGTAAGTGGTTAAAAAAGAGGACAAAAATAAGTTCTAGTCCGTCAGTAATTGGCTCAATCCTGCTTCTGCCTCTATGCATACATAATGAACCAGATCTTTAATACTCAGGCTTGATGTGTACTGCAGTTATTTTTGAGAGAATCTGACCACTGTTCTTTCTTTGTTAGACAGGGCTATGAAGAGCTGGAAAGGCAGCTAAAAGAAGTCTTTAAAGAGAGAAGCAGCATTCTTCGCCAGCTTTCAAAGACATCCAAAGAGCTTGAAGGAATTAAAGTTAACCTCCAGGTCAGAGTTATCTTCTTTCTTTGTTTTTAGTTAGTTAGTTAGTTAGTTAGTTAGTTAGTTAGTTAGTTAGTTAGTTTATATCCCACTCCCATTAGTGTCATGGCACTACCCTGGGCTGGTTATAATACATGTAACAGAAAATAAAAATAGAAATAGAAACATATTAGTCTAGAGTGACCACTGCTTCATCACCAAAAAGGAAGAATTAATTTGCATGTTCAACAAAAATAATGGCACAAAGAGATACATACCCAGTGCTGACTATATCCAACTTACATTTTTGAGTAGAGATGAGAACAAATCCCTGGACCAGCAGTTTGTCATAGTTTGTTTGTGGGCTCAACCAGTGTTTGGTGCTTCCCAGCCACTCCCTCTCTGGCGGGCACCCACTCAGGGCCCACTCTGATTTTCTCTATTACTGAGTGAAGAAAATATGCTAGGAATACTGATTAAAGATAATGGACCTGTCATAGCTGTGCGGGCAATGCTAACTGTAGGATGTCCTGTTTCGGAAAAAAAAAAGAATATACATTTTGGATGGTATAAATATATCTTGCTTGTAGCCATTGTCAAAACTCACTGACCAGGAGTGGATAACTTTTCTCTCTTCTGGTTTTTGTGTCTTCTCGCAAATGTTTACCTATAGCTAAATAAATATGGATCTGCTTTAAGTCTCTAACCTAACATACAGAGTACAGTGGTGCCTTGACTTACTAACTTCATCCATATTGGAATGGTGTTTGTAAGTCAAAAACGTTCCTAAGTCAAAGCAGCATTTCCCATAGGAATGCATTGAAAACCGATTAATCCATTCTGGCTGTTTCTTGTTCTTATGTCAAGGCACGGTTCATAAGTCAAAGCTTTTGTTCCCAAAGGAACTAATGCAAAGCTGGTTAATCTGCCCTCTACCATTAGGGAGATGCATTTTAGACCCCAGCAGCCAAATAAACCTTTGCAAAACCATTTCTGATTTTAAAAGCAAAAGACTAAAATGCATTTTAGATCCCAGCAAAGAGAACAAAGCAAAAAAGCAAAGGAAGCATGCATGAACCATTGCAAAAGCACAGAAAACAAACAGAGCAGATTAGAAATGCAAAGGGAACAAAGCAAAAAAACAAGAGAAGCATAAATGAACCATTGCAAAAACAAATGGAGCAGACCAGAAATACAAAGAGAACAAAGCAAAAAGCACGCAAGACACATCGAAAATAGGGGAGGGGGAACCGAAAAAGCAACCAAATCCCCCAAGACCCATTGGAAATGGGAGGGAAACAAACAAAAAATTCCCCAAGACCCATAAGAAATAGGAAAAAACACTCCAAAAAGGAAGCAAATCTCCCATTGGAAATGGGGGTAGAAACAAAAACAAGCCCCCAAGACCCATCACAGCACAGAAACATAACCCCCAGCCAAAAATCACGCTTCAAAAATACCCAGAACAGTTTTTTAAAAGTATAAAGCAGCACCTTACCTTACCAGGCAGCCTCCTCAGATCGCAAACTCTCTAACTGCTGGGGTGAAAGAGCTACAAAGAAGCAGCCTTGTCACCACCTACAGTTAGAAATTTGAATCTCCTGCCCTTTTCCCCTGCCTTTTTTCTGTTTGTAAGTCAAAGCTCCATTCACAAGTCAAAGCAAAATGTTGTGAACAGAGCTGTTCGTAACTAAAATGTTCGTAGGCCAAGGCATTCATAAGTCAAGGCATCACTGTACTAGTTTTTCTTCTGAATGAAGGAGGACCGTTCTCCTTAAAGGAGGATGCATGGCCATCCAATATTAGTCTCATGCAGATGTTCAGCCACTTCAAGTGAGGGCTAAATGGGGGCAGGATGTGTAGGCAAACACACAGGTTTATCTCAACGAACCTATCCCTGCTGCTATGTACTTGCATGCCAAAGACATTCAGACATTGCAGAAATGTATCATGCAATAATGTGGCTTCTCAGTAGCAGCATCACCAGAACACGTATGACAACATTACGAGCTGGTCGTGAGCTTTCAGAGACAGGTGAAATTTACCAGATGCTCTCAATCCTAGTGAGAATTTCTCCTTAGTGCAAATTCTTTGGACAACACACCTGCACATTGATCACATTTCTGTACTTCTGGACCTGTAGAAAGGAAAGGAAGACTATTTTCCTTGTGTGTTTCTAATGCTTCCGTATCTCAAAATAAGTGTTGTGAAGGCCCTGAAGCAGATGAACAAAGCTACTTGTCTCTTCCCTCTCTCCTCACTCCTGAAATGTGATATTAGCAGAAACCTTGATATAAAAAGGGTTCTGGATAATACTTTTACTGCTGAAAGATATTAAAGAGCTCCTTGGTAACACATTGTCTCTTCCTTTTTGTTATCAGTCTTTGAAAAATGATGAGGCCTCTGCGAAAAGCGATGTACAGAAACTCTTGGAATTAGGCCAAAAACAAAGGTACACTTCGGTATTTATCTTTCATAATTTTGGCTCCCCCCCCCCCCAATGTTGAAAGCAGGTATGAATTCCCAACCTTCTTTCCTAGCAAGGACAGAGAACACTCTTGGTACAGAGGAACCAGAGAGGCAGCCACCTGATTTGAAACATAAGCTTTGTGTTTGCAAAAAGCAAGATACCACAGGTAGAAAGATCAGCAGTGAGAGAACTGACCTACAACCTTCCTTCTTCATGGACTAGTTTTCTGCATTCAGGGACTCCATGCGAGCACAGCAGGCTCCCTGTTGCTAATCTTCAGCCACAATGCCTGGAAATCAGTCAGGCATGACAAGAAGGACATACTGTAGAGTTGTTTCAAGGGACCTTGCTCTGCCCTGCATGTCACCAATCATATCAGATATGGATGCCCAGATCGTGTTTTCATTGAGACACTACAGTCATATTCAGGCATTGGCCTGATCACATGTAAGACAAAACTTTAGGGGAGGCAGATGATACTATGCCTATAAACCCTATCACCAAATGTCAGTGAGCATCGAGAAGCAAGTTACATCTTTCCTCCTTCTCTCAAAAATGTCAGTGCAGAAATCACTGGTCAGGGGAAACCTGTACATGTTTGGTCAGAAGAGGCCCCAGTCCATTACTTGTCAGCCTCTATTTATAAAGTTAAAACTTGTCGGACCTCTGTTGCAATCTGGAAATATTGCTGGGTCTAAAAATAACCTTTGGGTTATTCCTGGACAAGTCCTTTCCTGTCTAAAAGCATTGCTGTCTTCAGTTAATAAAGTAGCTTACATATCTATGGGCTTATTCATTTTGTTTCATTCTGTTGTGTTCCACTATGTTTTGTTTTGTTTTAATTTGATTCTGAGGCTTTTCATGTTGCTGTCTGTCATGACGCATGGTAGGAAGGACAACTGGTAGGCAGAAATGAGATTTATTGTACTTATTTATTTATTTATTGAGTGAATTTATACCCCACTCCTATGCCTGTAAGTTTTCAGAGTAGCAGCATTGCCAGAATTCACATGACAATGTTATGATCCAGGTTTGAGCTCTCAGAAACAGGTGAAATTTTCTGGATGCTCTCGATTACCAAATGATTTCAAATCCCTCTCAGGAGAGCTTTCCTATCACTGCTATAAACCTACAACATTTGCCTTTTTCAGAGCAAAGTGTCACTTCTGAACTGTCATAATGATCCATCTGAAGTGTAGGAAGATTGTTTCCCAGGAAACAAATCCAGAGCATTGTTTCATTGCTTCTCTGGCTTCCCAAGACAGACAGTGAGATATACAGAATGAGGTTTTTTTCCCCAACAAAAAGTGGGGTGGGTGAGTTGTTTCTTTCTCTTCTTGATCCCTTTTTCTGACACTCTCCACAAATACTATGGAAACCACCTCCATCAGTTGCATAACAATTAATAATGTCAAACCCTTCAGGTTTGGGGCATTCTGAAGCTAGGCATAAATTCCGATGAGTGAAATGCCAGGGCATAAAAAACTGGCCTGCAATTAATGCAAGGAATTCTGTTACAACTCTCAAAGAATGTAAATTAAACAATGCCTCAAGATACTTCTGGTGAGATATGCAACATCACCATCTTGAAACAGTCGGTGTCTTATATACCCTGTGATAAATCTTCCAAAATGCAGAAGACAAAGGAATGCCCAATTTACCTTTCAAAGGGTTATATATTATTTAGCTGTCAGGAACCGCTGCACTTATCCTCGCTGACAGTGTACATGGCTGTTCTTATGTTTAATGCATGGTTGTTCCAATCAAAATGTGTGTCCCAGACATGGACTTGTTGTTCTTTGGTTGCACACCTGCATTAAAATAATGAGTGGTGCATTGAATCTGACCTGTAGGTGCCATTGGCCAATAAAACCCCAGCAGTTAGATGGGGGTTTCCAATAGAGATGTAAATTTTGCTGTCCTCTGAAGATGCCGGCCACAGAGACCGGCGAAACGTTAGGAAGAACCACTTCCAGAACACGGCCAAGAAGCCCGAAAAGCCCACAACAACCAGAGATGTAAATTCTTGCTTGTCTTCCTCCTGAGTACAGTGGACCCTCGACTTACAGACGGCTCGACTTACAGACTTTTCGAGTTACAGACTTCTCTGGCTGCAAAATTTAGATTCGACTTGCAGCCGGAGAATCGACTTACAGACCAGAAAAAAACCAAAATGGAACAAAAATAGAATAAAAACCGCCGGTTATGGGATTAATCGGTTTTCAATGCATTGTAGGTCAATGGAGATTCGACCTACAGACTTTTTGACTTGCAGCCACCATTCCAATACGGATTAATTCTGTAAGTAGAGGGTCCACTGTATGAGAATGAGAACGCCTGTGTGAGATGGTGAGATGTTTTGTCTCAATATTGACTAAACATCTTGCACTTGCACCAAGGATTTTATGCAAATCAGACAATTGCTCAAATGGGTTGCTTCTTATTGTTTTGTTCAATCAGGTGTCAGTTTTGTGCTTTTTGTGTGTGCGTGCTTAGCTTCACAAGGGGAAATGACACTAATTTTAGTTTTAGCCTATTGTGGACACCTCAGTCAAAACACCCATTTAGTTCCTTTTCTTGCTCTCATGCTGGAAGAAAATAACATGAGGAGGTCACTGGTTTCTCAATAGGTAGCCTCCATGTGTCTCCAGCCTGTCTCACTTAGAATTGATTTGCGAAAATTAATTACGTATCTTAATTTCCACATGTATTCAACTCATATTTTCTTGACCAGTCTTCCATCCACAGTCAGCAAGGTGGTGAACAGAACCAAGTACTGGGGAAGAAAAAAGAGGGGTAGGTGGGTGATCTTTTCTGACACTTTCCTCAACTATTATGGAAACCACCTCCATCAGTTGCATAACAATTAATAATGTCAAACTCCTCAGATTTGGGGCATTCTGAAGCTAGGGAAGCATAAATTCTGATGAGTGAAATGCCGGGGCATAAAAAACTGGCCTGCAATTAATGCAAGGGATTCTGTTACAGCTCTCAAAGAATATAAATCAAACAATGCTTCAAGACACGTCTTGTGAGATATGCAATATCACCATCTTGAAATAGTTAGGCAATCACTTTCTTACTTGGTGAAAAGTTGATTATTTCATCCACTACATATATACAAGGTGGGAATTTATTTTATATAATCTTTTCTTTTCCTCATCTTCAAGGACCAGTCAAGAAAATATCAGCAGCTGAAGACTGAACTGCTGACAGTTTATTGATTGGCCCCTGAAGATGATGGAAGAGAAGTTTGTTTGTTTTTTTAAAATATGATACAGCATGTCAGTGATGGTCTATTACACGGTCTTAAATACAAACAAACAGACAGAGAGACAAACAAACAAACAAACCACTTCCCATGCTCCTCTACCAAGGAGCAGAGGAAGTGCTCAATTTGTTGATACCCTGAAATGGCTCTCTTCTGAAGCCAGTTCATGATGTTGGCAAATTCAAACTGGAAGGCTTTGCATTGGATGGATAGGAATCCCACCCACACCAAAAAGGGAGAAGCTGCTGCCAGGAGGTCACAAAGGACCGCTTTGGGGGTGCACTGGCTCACCCCAACAATGCCATAGTCTGATCACCATTTTTAAGAGTGAACCAACCCATTCCTGCAGTGGGCTAAACACCCATGCAGTTAGCTTCCATGTTCTCCCATCTCACCCTGAAGAGCTTCCTCTGTGGAACCTGCTACATCCAAGCCCTAACACAGCTGTCAAAGAGTATGCACTGCCGTATAAAAGAACATCATAATCTGCCTAAGAATTGGCTCAGGACTAAAGAAAACCAAGAGGGACACCTTCTGTTCAAAATGATTACATTTAGCTCCCAGTTTCTTTAGTGCCTGAAGAGAAATTTGAAAGACTGATCTCCCTAGGAGTTTGATAAAATCTTTATATCTAAGAAACTGTTGTAACAAACAGCTTCTAACTGGAGGGAGAAAGATCTCAGTTTATAATTTCCCTTTGAAATGATGGAGTTCATGAATTTGCAGTTTTAGCAGTTTCTCTCCCCTCACCACTCCACTTTAAGAAGAAATGCACACTTTTCCCATTCACAACAGTGTAGTTTTGGTTGAGTGTATCTTTGACTATGTTTACATATTATTTGCTTGTGGGTTTTGCAGTATTTTTATTCCCAGAAGGAACTGCAGGAGTTATACAATTGGCAATATTTGACACGGCAGGCTATTCAACAACGGATACGAAAAGGGAAACCGTTTCCCTGTTATGACTTCTTCTTTGGGAACTTTGCTGAGGCACACTGGGCCTTTGTGGCTTTATTCATATGTCGCTTCAACAAAGCACAAACCAGTGGCTATTCTATGTAATTAAAAGTGCCTTATCATGAAAGGAGAGTAAGCAAAGGCTTTCTTTCCTGCTGGACAACAAAGATGAAGTGTGTGTTTTGTTTTGTTTTTTCAATAAACTAGGGAAGAAATGAAATCGCTCCAGGAGGCCTTTCAGAAACAGCTTAATGAGGCAGCTGAGAAGGCAGAAAAACAGCAGGCCACAGTGAGTGATTCTATTCTTTATTACTATTTTCTTCTACCTTTCTATATTCAATTCTTTTTAAACAGATGGAATATATTTGTCTGAAGATGGTTGTTGGTAAGTAAGATATCTAGAACATTGTATGTATTTGTGGAAATCTTTTTTTTTTTTTTTTTTTTTTGAAGCAAAGAATTTTTCCGGATTCATTCCATAAGTAGATGATCAAGTGAAGGGTATCTTCTGATTAGTCACCAGTGATCCAGGCCCAAATCAATCCTAATATGAATAGAATACTGTATGGAGACAATAGTAAGGTTTGGTTCAGATCCCAGATTTCTAATTTGGAAAATAGACAGGTTCAGACTGGCTCCCATTCAATTTACTAGCAAGTCAATATCAATTTAGGGAGTTTTGTGTTCTGTCTACAAAATTATAAAGAGTTACAAGGTTTTTAATGACACTTTCAATTGTTTTGATGTAAGTGCTGGATAGCTCAGTGGTCTGAGTATCTGACTGTGGAGCCAGAGGTTAGACATTTGATTCCCCACTGTGCCTCCTTGACAGGGCTGGACATGATGATCCACAGGATTACTGCCCCCCTCCAATCTCTGCAGTTCTAAGATTATTTTATTTTATTTTAAAAGAAAATTGCCAATTCCTTCTTTAATGTTTCATCCAGTGAATATTTGGAGAGTGTTTTGCACAAGAGCAGATTTTACAGTTAAGGGCTTTCAGACTCTGGGGGGCAGAATACATTTTTGCTTCCTGTTTTCTGTGGAGAATAATTCAGAAAAGATCATATAACAGTGATTTTAAACCAGTGCTGGAAATATAATTGATGTGATATAGACATACTCGATGTGGTATGCATGATTTTTATAACAATGACTATCAATTCATTTCTCTCAGACCTCATGTCCTGCATGTGTGAGGTACCCATGTCCTATCAGTCTCCCTGCTATGGATTAAAAATCCATTCCTTCTGGAACGCTAGCAATAACCTTGGACATTTGGCGTTTCTCCTTATTCTCTTGTGCTACCTATCCACCCATGAGCATCTCCTTCATAAAAAATGTGCCCTCTGTTTCTATTGTGATAGGACTCTGGACTTCTTTTAAAAGACTGATTTGTGGCACATGAGTTGCAAAAGATTGACTAGAGATGTGAAGAACATGTCTTAAGTTCCTTGTTCCTGCTCTTGTGGTGTTTCAGAACAATGAGATATGTTGGGAAACATTTTAAAAACACAATGAGATTCCTTGCCTCCTATGTGAGAGTGAGATAAGGAGTTATTTGTCTCTTTTCAAGTGTATGTTTGTATGTGTCAGGGTCTCGGCAATGTGATCAAAATACCTCTGTGCAAAACTGGTGTTCTTTGAGAAGCAATGCACAGACAGATTAATTGATGGCTTGAAAATATGCTTCTAATTCATAAAACCTAAGGAGGAGCCATTACAGTTTTGTGGAATTGTTGTGGTGGTGTTTACGTAATCTGCAGTGAAAATTGTTCTTGTGAATGCAATGGCACATCAAAATTAACAGAACATCCATGTGAGAAATGACAGAAATGAGGATGTAGTAGACACTGTCTGGGGGTGGGTGGGGTAGAAATCAATCAATTAGACACTGTCTGGGGGGGGTGGGGTGGGGTAGAAATCTAACAAACAAACAAACAAACAAACAAACAAACAAACACAGAAGTGGCCAGTTGTAAAAATTGCCACATTTCAGAAGGATAGGTGCAGCAGTGTTCATGGAAAGGAAGACGTGGAAATTATTTTCTGGTAGGAAAGAACTGATTGATTGATTGATTGATTGATTGATTGATTGATTGATTGATTGATTGATTGATTGATTGCACTTATATGCCGCCCATCTAGACATTGTCTACTCTGGGCAGGTCACAAAAGAAAAGATAAAAACTGTTAATTTATAATAACAGTTTTACACCAATATACAATGCAAACAATAGTTCAAGTTGGGAAGAAAAATAAATTAAGAAAATAGTTAATTTCCACTAAACATTTTTCAGTGCATTCAGTTTTACAGCAATATGCAATGCAAACAATAGTTCAAGATGGGAAGAAAAATAAATTAAGAAAATACTTAATTTCCACTAAACATTTTTCAGTGCATTCTGGGTGGGAATTGTATGAAAATGGTACAAGTCACAGAATTCTCCCTACACAAGAAACATGCAAAATTCAAAAAGGTAGGTGCTGCAGAAAGGGAGCTAAGATGAACAGAAAACAGTACAAGCCTTTTCAAAATGTGGGACACAATTGATGTTCATCTCAGAATTCCTCGGCTTCATAGTCACACAAGAGCAGGCCTATTGAATCAGTGGGGACTTGGTTATCCAATGCTTCCATAAGTTCCATTGATTCAGTTATGACTTACTTTAGCATAGTAAGTTGCAACTAGAACAGGACTCTTTGAATTACAGGAATTTACGGAGGAGATTTGGTGAGTAATTTGTTGTTTAGTCTTTAAGTTGTGTCTGACTCTTCATGACACCATGGACCAGAGCATGCCAGGCCCTCCTATCTTTCATGGCCTCTCAGAGTTGGGTCAAATTCATGTTGGTAGCTTCAATGACACTGTCCAACCATCTCAT